CAATAGGATCATCACACGGGTCCAGCCACTACAACAGCTGATCTCTCTTCTCATTTGACAGCACGCAGTGATCATTGTTGCGTACAGATTCCTGGACAGCTGTACAGCAGCAGAGCTTGTCCTTCTGTCCAGCTGTCTTACATCCCTTCAACACTGGTTAGCAGTGGTGCCAGCGTCTTCCTCGCTGAAGGTGCTGGTAACGCGTTCTCTCTCTCTCTCTCTCTTTCTCTCTCTCTCTCTGTCTCTCTGTCTGTCTGTCTCTCTCTCTGTCTCTCGTCTGTCTCTCTGCCCCCCTTATTCTTTCTCCCTCATTTTTCCCTCCCTCCCTCCTCTCCATCCCACCTTTGCTGTCACCTTTCAGTCTTCATAGACTTTTGTCAATTTTATCAATATTTTCAAAGAACAAGCTTCTAAATTAATTGGTTGTTTTGTTTTCTAGTTGACCAACTTTTACTCTCATATTTATTCCCTTTTTGTGCACTTTTTTAGGTTCCACTGTTCTTCTTTGTCTATTTTCTCAGGCGGCGAGGTGACTGGTTTGAGACCTTTGCTGTCTGCTGCACAGGTGTCTAGAGCCAGCTGCTGTCCTCTGACCGCTGCTGCGGCTGCAACCCGCACGTTCCAATGTGCTGTACTCTCATTTCCATTCAATTCAAAATGATTTCTAATTTTCATTTTCATCTCTTCTTTGACTCATGTATTGTTTAGAAGTGTCTTGTTTACCTTCTAAATATTTGGAGATTTTCCAGGGATTTCCTCTATTCTGAAATCCACTTTTCCTGATATAACTATAACCATTGCAGCATCCTTACAGTTAGTGACAGGTGGCACATCTCTGTCAGTTCATCTACTTTTAACCTCTTTGTGCTTTATAGTTAAAGTGGATATTGTTTAGGTAGCATTTAGCAGAGTCCTTTATTATTAAATGATCTATTTCTGTCTTTCAATTGCAGCATTTGTCTTTATATTTATAATAGATATGAGTTTTCATATGATTGGTTTTAAATCTACCAACTTGCTATTTATTTGTCCCGTTTGTTCTTTTTTCCCTTTGTTTCATTTTTTGCTTTTGTTTGGAATCAGTGATTTATATCATTCTATTTTATCTTCTTTGTTGGCTGATTAGCTTTAACTCGTGTGTGTGTGCACGTGTGTGTGCATGTGCGTGCGTGTGTGTGTGTGTGTGGTTTTACTGGTTATTTGGGGTGAACGGTCATTTTTAACTCGTCATGGTCTGACTTCAATCTACGCTTTGCCACTTGGTGTGGGCACGTAAGAAACTTAGGACAGCGTATTTCCATCTCTTCCCCCAGTCCCTGTGCTTTTGTTGCCACATGTTGTGCCTCTGTGTATGTTATACACTTCAAAACACACTGTTACTGTTTTTAAATAGTCAGTAATACTTTAATAACACTTTAATAACACTTTAATAATAATACAAACATGGTTTTATAATTTGCCCATGTAGTAACCACTTACGAGCACCTTCCGTGTGTGCAGATCCAGTTTTCCACCTGACAACATTTTTTCCTCCTTCAGGGATTTCCTTTTACGTTTCCTATAGTGCGATCCTGCTGGTGATGAATTGTTTTGGCTTTTGTTTATCTGGAAACACTCTTATTTCACTTTTACTTGTGAAAGATAATTTTGCGTGAGGAATTCTGGGTTAACGATGCTGTTTTCCTTTCATTGCTTGGACTCGCTGCCCCAGCGTCCTCGGGCTCCCATCCTTTCTGATGGGAACTTTGCTGTCATCCTCGTCTGTGATCCCTTTTTCCTCTGGAGGTTTTTATTATTTTTTATTTATTCATACTTTTAAGCAATTTTTTTAGCGGCTTGTCTTAGTTTATTTTCTTTCTGTTTCCCGTGTTTGGCTTTCATAGAATTTCATAGGCCGTATGTCTATTGTTTTAATCCAATTTGGAAATTTTTCAGCTGTGATGTTTGTCTGCACCTGCCCCCCTGTCAGGAGTCCCCATCAGCATGTTTTAGGCTGCTTGAAGTTTGACCGCACCTCGCCGATGCTCTTCTCTCTTTCTTTTTAGTTTGTTTTCCCTCTGTGATTCATTTTGGCTAGCTTACAGATATCCAGGTTCCCTAATCTTTTCTTTGGCAATGCTTAATATTTAATCCCATTTAATGTATTTTTCCTTCTCAAAAATTGTAGTGTTATCTCTAAAAGTTCAATTTGGTCTTTTTAATGTACTTCATTTCGCCTCTACAAAAAAATATTCAACCCTTTCTCTACCTTCTTGGACATATGGAATTTAGCCATAAAATCTTTTCAAAATATCTTCCTTGTGAATTCAATCATCTGTATCATTTCTGGATAAGTTTCAATGGATCAATTTTTCTCCTCATGATTTATCATAAATTCTTTGTATGCCTGGCAATCTTTTATTGGGTACTAGACCTTGCGATTTTTTACCTTGTTGGATGCTAGATGCTTTGCATTTCTTTACATATTCTTGACGTTTGTTTTGGAATGAGATTAAGGTACATGGAAACAGTTGGATTTTTGTGGTTTTGCTTTTAAGGTTCTTTTAGGTGGGACTGGAGGGCAAATAGTCTAGTCTTAATTTTTTCCACTATTGAGGCAAAACTGTTTTATGTTCTGTGCCAGATTCCCCTGGAATTTTGTGGTTTTTCACCATGCCTGCTGGAGATGCCCCAAATGTTGCTCCTCTAATCTGAGGAGCTCTGTCTCTGGCCTCAGAGGTTCTCCTCACAGGGTGCGCTGGCCAGTGCTGAGCTCGGTGCCCGCGTGGGACACTCGACTGACCCAGCATCGTCCCCACTCGGCTCTCCCCCTCCGGCCTCTCTCCTCGGAGCTGAGCCCTGCCAGTCTCTCGGGACTCCCAGCCCCTCCAGGCCTAATACGTCTTCATCATGGCCCACAAATCCTCTCCAGGCAAAAAGCTGGGGCAGTGACAAGGCTTCCGTCAACATTTTCCCTCATTCCAGAGATCACTGCCATTTGTTCTAAATGTCCAGCATCTTCAGAACTGTGGCTGGGTTTTAAGTGGCTGGTTTTTAAGTAGCCAACTGTTTTGTTGGCTGGTTTTTAAGTAGCTTTCAAGATAGGAGAGTGCCGGAGACCAGCTCCAGTCAAGTTGGGGGTCCTTGAAAGAGGGATGAGGAAGCTGCAAAAATAAAAAACACAGGCAGAGACCTCGGTTCCTCTGAAGCACGTTCTCAGCCTGCGGGCTGTCAGCGCTGTCACAGCCAGAGCAGCTAAAGCAGCTGAAGCAGCCTTCAGACTGGAAACAGCATTTTTATTTGTTACACAACACGGGGGGGTTAATGTGGGCATTTTAACTACATAAATCTTTAAAATTATTAAATCAATAGTTAAACGGAAACTTTTCTTAAAATTACATCAGTTCTCATAAAATTAATAATCTACAAGGTTAAATAAAACTCAGTCGTCAGCCAATTCTTTCTGGTGATTATATCTGTTGTGTGGTCAATTAGTCCGTGACTCGCTGTTCTTGACGTTTTTCACCATTGTGTTTCTTTTCTTCTTGCCCTCGTATTAACCTTAAACTTATTACTACCAGCAAGCATAAATTAGTTAAACAAACCTTATATATATTTTTAACTTTTAAATACTATAAAAGAAAATTCTAACAATTATATTTAAAACTTATAAATCTAACAATTAAACTTATAATCAACTAAAAATTTAATGATTCTCATATTTCTATAGGCATGAACCTATTGTTTATTTGGAAAAGGAATAAAGGATATTTGAACAGCTTTATCATGCATGTACTTAATATAGCAGCTGTGTGGCCCAATGTAAAGTGTCAAAGTGCACAGCACCATCCCTCATGAAACCAGGTGCATTTTAAATTCCATCTATAATCTTTATTTTTAGGAGGGAAAGTTGTGCATCATATGTTTTTGTCCCAATATCTTACTAAGATGTTTTTATTTAACTTAGGACACCAATGAGTAACAGGGTTTCTATGCATTCTTTCTCATAAACTTAATTCTTTTTATAGTATCTTTTTTCATTAATTCCAACCATTCTCTTACCATTAACATAATCCCCTGTAAATGACGTTTGCCAACTTAAGTCATATTTAGGACATCCCCTAGGAGGGTACCAAATTTTTCCTTTTCCCATTTTATAATCTATATAACCATTTATCCAGATGGTGGGAAGAGGATGAGGATTTTTATTGTTTATTAATTTCTTTGGTAAAAACAATTGCTCATGGCTATTCATAAGGTGTTTGTAAAACATCCATTGGTGTAATAAATTGACTCAAAAGGGACAATTTAGAATTGTTCAATCTTCCTGGATCTTTTGTGGGATAATCTAATTTTATGACAACTGTCTGTGTGTCATTTTTTACATCTTTTGGAAACTCGGGAAACTGCCACACTGACCAAAACATCAAAAGAGAAAGTGAAAGCAGCACCACTATGCCAAGGCAGAGGTCTTTACAGTGAAAGCAAGTGCTGGTAGCCGGGGCCCTGCCAGCAGCTCTCACCCCGGGGCCTTGCCAACTCGGAAAGGGCAGCCCAAGCTATTCTTTTCAAGACCCTGCCATGGCGTGGACCGCGCCAGGAGAGTAAATCTAGTTCTTGTCACTGCATACTTGTCAGGCATCCACTGAAGTCAGTTTATTGATGTTAAAAAATATTCTCACATTTTAGCTAATCATATCAATGTACAACATGTTACATTACAATGAGTCCAATAATATTGGTGTTTTAATAAATTTTCTTCTTCATTCTAATGTGTCTAACTTAAAAGTAGATTCCTTAGTTGATTAAGAAGGGATCTATTTAGAATAACCCAACTCCACTTTTCTTAAGAAAGGAGTTAATTTTTTAGTGTTCTTGCATATTCCCCAATGGTTTCGAAATTTATATTTCCAAAGTAATACTTCCTTATAAATCCTTTGGGAAGTCTTGATTTTCACCACTTTCCACGGAGCCCTGCGTGGGCGAGCTCACCAGCTCCGTGTCCTGTGCTTCTGTTTTAGGCGGCACAGCTACCAGGCAGAGAGGCTTTCTGGGCTGCATTCGGTCTCTGCAGGTGAACGGAAAGGCTCTGGACCTCGAGGAAAGAGCCAAGGTCACACCGGGAGTGGAGCCCGGCTGTCCGGGACACTGCAGCACCTACGGCCACTTGTGTCTCAATGGAGGGCAGTGCCGGGAGAAGCCCCGGGGATTCGTGTGTGACTGTGACCTCTCTGCATACGGCGGGCCCTTCTGCTCCAGTGGTGAGTGCGAATGAAGAACTTAACCAAGATCGAATAAAACCTGTTCTGAGCAGCTATTTGATAAAAATATCTCAGTTCCTGAGTTCCTCTTGTAAATCACCTTCTTACAGCCAATCTTATTTTATTAGAAAGAAATGTGACTCTACTGTTGAAAAGTCAGCAACTGCTACTGTAAGATCTCATATTAATCCCAGGGTCTTATCGAAACACCATCTCTGCATTCTAACGTTTTCTACCTGATGCTTCTGTTCTCAGATAATGAGTTATTAAAAATCTGCCCCACATGGCCATTGCCTATTTCAATAGTACAGGAAGAATTTTCTTCCAAAAATATATTTTATTGGTATAATAAGTACATTTTTATTATTCAGGAAACCTTGGGCTGTTTCATTGTGCCACTGGGATTTAAAGTACAAACTGTGATACCAAATTGAATCAGTTTTTGATTTTTGAAAGAATTAACTGCCTAGAAATGGTCGGAACACAATTATATAGGTTATATTTCAAGTTAAATCTGTGACGGCAAATCAAATCATCTGTTACCATATCAAGACACACAAATGAAGTTCAGTTGTACCAAGGAAGCTTCTAATAATGTTGGCAGAGGAAAGTGGGCATGCAAACCTTCCTTCCCTGAACCCTAGGGCAGCGGAATAGCTGTAGATTAATAGAGATTAGAAGTAAAGGCACAACAGAATGAAGGAGACCCCAGTTTTGAATGTGATCTCTGCCCTAATCCTTGCCTGACAACTCCCAGGGTGTGCAATCTCAAGAGGACTCCTAGAGGCAGCCACAGCACAGAGGTACCAGCAGACCCATGCTACGGGGTGACAGGGTGACGGGTGGAGTGCAGGCATGTTAGCTGTTGTTGTCAACCACAACAGAAACAGAAACAATAAGAACAAACGGTATCAAGAGCATTTGCAATGAGTTATCTACAATGTTCAGTTTTCAATAAAAAGCACTACACATGCAAAAAAAAAAATCAAATTGTACTCCATACTTAGGGGAAAAATGCAGTTAATAAAAACTAATTCTGAGTGGGCCTTTTTGTGTGTGGTTTCAGAAGACAGAGACATTGAATAGCTCTTATAATCTAGTCAGTCAAAAAAATGACGTTCAGAGAAATAAAGAAAATATGCCATCTATGCCTAAACTGATATGGAACTTCAACAGAGCAATGGAAACCATGTAAAAAAAACAAGTGAAAATATAAGAACAGAAACATACAATTACTGAAATTTAAAAATAATTATGTATCCCTCAATGAGTTCAACAGAAGTAAGAATCACTAAATTTAAAGATAAGGCAAGTATATATATTATATATGTATAATCTCCAATCTGAAGAGGAGAAAGAAAAGATTACCAAAAAATAAAAGTAAAAAGAGAGCCTCAGAGTAGTGTATGACAATATCCATAATTAAGTAATTGTAAACAATCCATGAGCTAAGAAAAAACTCATAAATAAAATTAGGAAATATTTTAAGTGACTATTAAAAATATACTATGTTAAAATAAATGATAACGGCTAAGGTATTATTTAAATGAAAATTTATGACTTTATATTATTTCATTAGAAAATAATACAAGTGTAAAATCAATGGTATACACTTGCAATTTAGGAATCTAGATAAAAAAGAACAAAATGAAACCCCCCAAAAAGTAGAAGAAAATAAATAATAAAGATAGAGCAGAAATAAATAAAATAAGAAACAGACAAAGGATGAAATCAATGTAATCAAAAGCTGGTTCATGGAAGAGGTCAATAAAATTGATAAATATCTAACAAGATTCTCCAGAACAAAGAAAAGAGGACACAAATTGCAAATATCAGGAATATAATACGTGAAGGAAAAGCAGATCCTGCAAATATTAAAATGATATCAATGGAATATTATGAACAATATTGTGATAATAAATTTCACAAATTAGATTAAATGGATACAGTCCCTGAAAGACACAAATTACCAAACTGACCCACTAATAAAGACAAAATCTTAATAACTTGTACCTATTAAAGAAACCAAATTTACAAAGATCTCACCATGAATAGCCAAGGTCCAGTTGATTCACAGGCAAATTTTTTCTATATGATTTTATATTATATTACTTTTTCTGTATTATTTAGAAAAAAATGCCAGTCTGACACAAACTATTTGATAATGAAAAGGAGAGAAGACTTTCCAATATAATTTATAATCTAACTAAAGAAGATTTGATGCAAAAGTCTAACAAAAACCATAAAATATATAAAACAAAGCAGAAACTACAGAAATATACTTCATGAATACTCACACAAAAATGCTTAACAAAGTATTAGCGAAATAAATCAAGCAATATAGAGAAAATCACATCCTGATCAAGTAGGATTAATCCCAGAAGTACAATGTTGATTTAATTTTCAAAAAATATTTCAAGGAAAGTCTCTATATTAACAGAATAAAGGAGATGAAACATAATCATTTCAATACATGCGGAAAACACATTTGACAAAATTCAGTATGAAAACTAGGAATAAAAGGTAAATTTCCCGGGGCTGGCCTGTGGCTTACTCAGAGAGTGCAGTGCTGAAAAGGTAAATTTACCAACCCAATAAAGGACATCTAATATCATATGACTAAGATACTTAGTCATGAAAGACAATGCTTTTCCCCTAAGATTGAGGAAAAAGCAAGGATCTGTACTCCCACCACTTGTTTCAACATGCTGTAGGTGTTAGCCAGTGCAATAAGACAAGAAAAGGAAGTAAAGAGCACACATATTGGAAGGAAAAAGTAAATTTCTTTTTAGTCTTAGGAGATATAACAATCTGTATAAAAAACCATAAGGAATTTACAAAAACCTAGTAGAACTAAGGGACATAAAAAACAAGGTCAACATAAAAAAATTAATTGAATTTCTATGTACTAGTACAAACGATTGAAAAAATAAAAAATAAAATTCTATTTAAAATAGAATCCAAAAATATGAAATATTTACATATAAGTTGAACAAAATAAGTATAAGACCTCTGAATTGAAACTATTTAAAAAATTAACATCTAAATAAATGAAGGATAAACTTGAAGACAATATTATTACTATGTCATTTCTTCTCAAATTGACCTATAGATGTAGTGTTTGAATCAACATTTTGTCCAAATCGGCAAGTTAATTTTAAATTTAAATGAAAATACATAGGGCCTTGAATTTTCAAAGTACTTTTTAAAAAAAAGAACAAATTAACAATGAAGAAGTGTGTGTGTGTGTGTGTGTGTGTGTGTGTGTATTCCTATATATGGAGAGAGAGAGAATCTGTCATAAATGTATGTAGGGATACAGAGATTGATACAGATATTCAACTGATTTTTCACAAAAGTGTCAAGGGCATTTAAAGGGGGGAAAGAAAGTCTTTTAAGCAGTGATTCTGGAATAAGTAGATAGCCAAATAAAACAAAAAGTATAACTTGACACTTAACCCACACCACATGCAACTCTTAATTTGAAATGGGTAATAGACATAAATGTCAAAGCTAAAAATTACAAAAATTCCGGTAGAAAACATAAGACAACGTATTTGTCACCTTGGAAAAGAAAACAAAAGTTAGGAAACAAAAAATATAAATCATAATAAATTTCATCAAAATTAATGATTTTTACTCTTCAAAAGACACTATCAAGAAACGACTATTAAAAACACTCACACAACAGATATCTGTCAAGGGACTTATATCCAGAAGATGTGAATAACTTGTACAGCCAATGAGATGACAAACAACCAGAAGGGGAAATGGTCAATGATTCGAACAGACACGTCACCAAGGAAGAGATACGAATGGCGGATGTTCACGTGAAGATGTGCTCTACGTAACCAGTCATGAGGAAGAATGCAAATTAACCCACCATGAGATACCCCTGCACATGCGCCCGAGTGGCTGAAATTAAAATGACTGACAGCGGCAAGTGTTGGAATTGACACAGAGGAACTGGAGTTCCAACGTCCAGCTACCCCAGCCTTAGGAATCTACTCAAGAAAAACGAACATGTAGATCCACTCAAAAACTCGGGCACAAATGTCGATGGCAGGGTGATTCATCATATCTTAAACCTGGAAACAACCCAAATGCTTGTCCGTAGTTGAATAGGTAAATGCACTGTGCGATGTCCCGTGCCATTCTAGTCTTAAACAACACGGGGCCAACTTAAAATCCTTACATGGAAGGAAAGACGTCAGACAAAAAGAGAGAGAGTACATGATGTGCAATCCCATTTATATAAAATCTAGAAAATGCCAACTAATTCAGGGTAATAGAAAGAAAGTCAGTGGTTGCCTGAGCAAGGGAGGGATTCACTGTCGAGAACTGAGAACTGCTCTGACTATTGACTGTGGTGGTTATTTCATGGGTGGATGCATCTCATGAACCTCTCCAAATTTTATACTCTAAATGGGAGTGTGTCTTTGGGTGTGTACCTAACCAAGCCTCATGAAAGTCGATTAAAAAGGTTTGTTGCTCCTTCTGTATGAGCACAGACCTCAATTTTTGATGGTTTTGTATGCACCTTTGCTAAGTGCAACCTCAATGTTTTCATGCAGGCAGACATCACATAAGAAGTCAATATTGTGTCATGGGCAATAAGGTGGTCTGGGGTTGGGCTTGGGGAGGTCACTCAATGACCGTGGCCCAGCTGGCGTGGACCTGCTGGAGCCATGGAGATAAGAGAGGTGCAGAAACTAAACCTCCCATCCCGTGCATGACCCACATCTGGGAGGTCATCTCCTTCATAATGCGATGGCACACACTAGGGAACTGATTTAGAGAAAGAGGACAGCCTGCTGTCACCTCCATGCACAAATGACCATTTCCCTCTCCCAAATGCATCATGGTGCCATCTGCTCAGCCTTCCCTTCCACTGGGCAGTGAAATAAAGGACTGGCCTTTGGTCTGTGGGTCCTCCCCCCTCACTCCGGGGGAAGACTTCTACCTGCAAAGCAAAAGACCAACCAAGCAGGTAACAGCCACGAAACCTGGCTTCTGCCTGAAGTCAAATGGGAGCTCATCGAGCTTTGATGGGAAACATCCTACTGAAGAATACACATGTGTGTTTTAACATGAAGACTTACCGAGGACTGTCCTAAAGTCCCCAACAATTAACTGTGGTTGGTATTCAGGTATATGGCACCTGTCGTATCATTCTGTACTTTTTATTTATTAAAATGTTCTGGAAATTAAAGTAATTCAAATATTCATAGTTATACTTCAAATCAACCCTCAGTCTTGTATAACTTTGAAATGTGCATATCATTTCAGAGATTTCTGCATATTTTGGAGCTGGCTCCTCAGTGACATACAATTTTCAGGAGTATTATTCCCTGAGCACAAACTCCAGCTCCTACGCTGCTTCCTTTCTTGGAGATTTGACACTAACCCGAGAGAGGATCTCGTTCAGCTTCCGAACAGCACAGACCCCCAGCCTGCTTCTGTATGTGGATTCCTTCTACAAGGAATACCTTTCAGTTATCCTCGCCAGAAATGGTGAGTATCCTTCTGGTGTTAGAAGACTAAATTAAATTACTACAACTGTAATAATATGATGTTTTCAGTGTCTGAGCCTCTCAAATTACAAATGAGGAGAAAATTGAATGTTCCCCAAATGTCATTTTATTTGTATTTATTTTATTTTTAAGACTATAAAGATATTGTTGCTAAGGTATCATTTCAGTAATCACATTAGGATTCTTCTGTAAAATGTCTGGTAAGTTTGCGTGTCTCGTGTAAACAGAACTCTTATTATCCCTGTAAGATCTTAGAAATATAAGGTATCTAGTTATGTGTGTAAATACTTTCTCCTCCTTCTAAGCAAAGGGGAGATGAGTTAAGGTGTCTCCCGATGCATCAAGACCATGCAGAAGTGACTGTCCAGATGCATCAGAGCAGCAGCGTTGTTCTGCCCTGTCTGTGGTCCTGAAGTAAATCAGGCCCTATCCACCCAAAGATGAAGGTACCATCACAACTGTCATCCAGCTACTACTTTTCCATGGTGGAGAGACAAGGCCAGGCTCTAAGCATCTTAAATGGAAAGTCAGGGTGCTAATTTGACATCTGGGAAAACTTGAAAACATTTCTGGCTAACAGGATTTTGCTACGGCTTGTGCAATAGTTAGAAGCATAGGGTGAAACCCGTGCAGCAGCTGAAGCCAAGCCAGGAGAGGTGGATGTGTGGAAACCTTGTCTCCTGGGGGAACCAAGTCAGGGCATCTCTCTTCCACACTTCCTGGTTGCAGATGCAATTTTCAGAACTGAAACCTCTGGTGTGCGAAGAAACAAACCAACCTACTGCCATTTCAGACACGGCCCTAGGATTTTGACATCCAAGGTGTACGCAGCAATATTGAGTAGGAATATTAACCTTCATTGTAGGTGTAGAGTTGTAAACCACATGAACGGTAGGAGTGTTTCATTGGCACATTGGAAGGCTCCCTGGGTGCACAGCAATTGACTTTTCAGCTAATAAGTAAGCAAAGAGAATTAATGTTAGAGGTGCATTTGGTTGAGATTTCTTCCACACTGGTCGGCATTTAACATCCGCAGCCACCACCAACTGGAATTATTCTCTGGTCCCTCAGGTATCTAGTAGCCACGTGGCTGCACAACAGCTCCCAAGGCCACTGCTCATCTTTATCTCTCACCTTGCAGAATATAGGAAACACATTCAAGGAAGACAAGACTGTACCAACAAAATAAATCAATATTTTGCAAAGTTTCAACTTCAACATTTCTTTTTTTTTTTTTTTTTGTTTTTTGTTTTTTTCCGTGTCTGGCAATGGATCGCAACCCTCAGTGTTGCCCCCGTACCGGACCGGGGACCGGCAACGGGATTGCAACCCTCGGTGTTGCTCCCGCGCCTCGCTCAGCCAGTGAGCGGGAACCGGTCTGTATGTGGGATCCGAACCCTTGGGCGGGAGCGCCGCCACGCTTCCCAAGTGACGCACTATCCAGTGCGCCACCGGGCCGGCCCTCAACATTTCTTAATATAATGTTCTTTTTACAAAAGTGGGGAGGACTCTAGCATGTGCTCGAGTCAGGTGTTTTCTTTTAGAAAATAGAGGATTGTAGGAAAGAGAGTTCTCATAACAACAACTTTTGTCTTCACTTTAAAATGGCATGATTTGAGGGGGATTGATCCAGCAGCAACACACAGAAGCAAGGACTGTTCCAAGGAAAGCAAAGACCAAGAAGGTGATGGCACCTCCCAGCAGACTATGTCGAAGAGATCCAAACTGCAAAACATGCTAGAAACAAGAAAATAACGGTAACTTCTCTGCAGTGTGAAAAGGCAGTTTTGAAAGTATCTTGTTCAAAAATGGTTTTTTTTTGTTGTTGTTTTTATTTTTTTGCTTTAGGGAGTTTGCAGATTAGGTACAAGCTAGATATCCATCAAGATCCTGATGTTTTAAACTTTAATTTCAAGAACCTGGCTGACGGGAACCTTCACCATGTGAAGATTAGCAGAGAAGACGGAGTGGTCTTTGTAGAGGTAACAGTGTGTTCATCCAACAATACTTAAAATTGTAATTCCCTAGTATGGGTCAACTAAAGCAACGCTTGATAACAACACGTGATATGAGTTTTATTTCTGTTTTATTCTCTCGTGTGTCATGGATAAGAAATCAAATATTGTCTGGTATTTTTATTTGCTTAGTAGTGGGAATCTGCCAAGTACAGTATAAAATTTTGACCTCTTAAATTTTTCCTGATTTCCTTTAATTTACTTGCCAAGGAAATGTCTATTTCATCACGGTGAATTACTGGCAGAAGTTTTAAAAATGATTCCTCAATAAGAATTCACAAGAGGACAAATGTTATGACAATTTCAAGCAACAACTTATGTAAAATATGATTATGATTAAAATTTGCATATCTAACAAAACAGAGTTCAGTCACTGTAGTGAAATTAGACACTGACAGCACTTTTGAAGGAAAGTGTTGGCGTGCTTGCTGTCTACATGGAACAACATACTTTGGTTTCATGTTTCATATTTCGAGATATGCAAAGGCTTTGGCTTGAACCCAAAGCTTTGGGCTTTGACAACTTTTTGTGGATTCTACCAATTACAGATTATTTGTATTGCGCCAGAAAATAATAAGGACTGTGAAGAGAAAGCAGTAGAGGAAGGAACGGGATGTGGGTGAAGGGTGTCATGGCATAAAAATTGTTTGGGTGCTGGTTCTCGGCTGGGATGATGAGCTCCTGCGGACGAGGTTCTTTCGTCTCGGGCAGCACGAACCGGGTTTTTCAATCAGTTTTGTTTGTTGGCTCCCCGTGCTTCCTGCCTTGTTACTGACAGATGAGAAACCTGTTGATGTTTGCTTCTCATGCGAACAGGTGAACCAGAAAGTGCGGACGCAAGTGAGTCTGTCCTCCGGCACGGAATTCAAAGCCATCAAATCCCTCACGCTGGGCAGGATTTTAGGTAAGTAAACTCAGAGTGCCCCTGCCGGCCCCCACTGCAGTCACAGTGTCAGGCCACTAGCACAGCAAGGAAACAGTTCCTTGTTTTATGTTAATTACAACACTTGTTTTAGTCCGTTTTGTGTTGCTATAACAGAATACCTGACACTGGGTAATTTATAAGGAAAAGAGGTTTATTTGGCTTACGATTCTGGGACAGCTGCATCTGGCACAGGCCTCAGGCTGCTTCTACTCATGGTGGAAAGCGGGAGGCAGCCAGCGGGTACAAGCAGATCACATGGTGAGAGGAGGCGAGAGAGAGAGAGGGTAGGTGCCAGGGTCTTTTAAGCAACCGGGCTCTCGTGGGAACTAATAAGGCAAGAACTCACTCATTAATCTCCCCTCCCCCAGGGAGAGCATTAATCCATTCATGAGGGATCCGCCCCCACGACTCAGTTTCCAACACTGCCACATTGGAGATCAAATTTCCACATGAGTTTTGGAGGGAACAACACATCCAAACTCCATCAACACTCCGGTCAATCAGGGCAGAAACCACACTTTTGCCTCAGTGCACACATAATCGTGGAAAGACACTTCCCACGAGAGGAGCTCGCACACACCGGGAGCCCCGCACCTCCTGTCTCTCTCTGCCAATCAAGCACAACAGCTGCAGCAATCTTCCTGCACCTCGAAGAAGATGTGATCAAAGCAGACGTGAAGGTCTAGAGTGTGGGTTTAACAGCCGCAGGTATATAAACCTTACCAGGATGACGCTTGGAAGGAAAAAATTAGTAAGCCTGTGTTTGCTGCCCCAGACACAGTGTAGTCCTGCTTTGCCAGGCTGCCCTGTGTGGGGATGTGTCCTGGGCTGGCTACCACACCTGTAGAAACACACCTGAGTGGTCAGTGTCACATGGGCCAGTTCCCACTGGCCACATCACGGGTGTGAAGGCACAGCAGGGCCACCGTAGGGTCAGATATCCTGCCTACAGTTCCCTTGTTGCCAAGTATTAACATGTAAAGGCTGCTAAATTTAAAAAATCGTGTGCTTTTTAGTTACAAATAAACTGTAAACATCTTGGATATTCACATGTTACTTTGGGGGAAATGATTTAGAGGTTTGTTTTATTTTACTGGTCTTGTATTGGCACTAATGTGACATATTTTACCCAAGATAATGAGTTTTCGCCTTTTTGCTTCTCTGTACCTATATTCTTCAGTCACTCACATTTCTCCTTATGCATAAACTCACAATTCTGACGATGTGTGAGTAAACCCAGTCAAAGAAGGGCAGACACAATCCCAGTTTTGTCCTCTTTAAGCTCTTCTGTCTTCCCCCAACTGGTCATTGTGATCTTTGTCTGAGCAACGTGAGTGGTTGACAATGTCAGAGATGTCCGCGTTCTGCAACCTTAGGCAAGGCTGCATTTTTGTGGAATACAGGTGTTCTGTGAACGGAGGGAAGGAGACTGCCTTTCTCCAGGGAGCTGGCCAATCATTTAGTGAGAAAACATGTATTGATTAAGTGCTTCTCTGTTCAATAAAGTAGACAAGGTGTTATGGCAGGTGCAGCATCCCTGACCTCGGAGATTTCATAGCCTCAGCAAGAAGTTGAGACACCCCCATAAATAGTTTAACAAACGTAAAAGCATTAAACATTATTTAAGATGTTGGCAAGAAGATATTTTTAAACACAACTTATGTTCAAATGTCGTGTCAAAGTTGTTGATGAAAGGCTCTGGGAAATAATGAGCAATCCATCAAGTAACAAACTAAGAAATGAATCACACCATATGCATGTAATAAGCGAATAAAAATGAAAGTATAAAGTTAATTCTTACACACACATATATTCCCCTCAATTAAATGAGTAAAGGACATTAGACTGGAATTGAATGCATGGATACTTTTTTTAAAAGAATGTTGTATTCATTGGTATACTATTGAGGCTCCAAAAGTAAGTCTGAAGTTCAAGTTGGACAGTAAACTTTATAGCTTGAAGCAATTGGGTTTCATGAAATTTTAAATAAAAATTCATTTACCATATGCCTGGGAGCATGGATTTTGACTGTCTAAAGACATTTTCCATATTTTGATAGTTTTATTTTAAGATTTGCTCTGCCATGAGCCTAATAAAACTTCCAAACCATTCTGTAAGCCCAAGAAATCTGCAGCTTTATGTTCCAGGCTAAAGAGGTGCATGAGGTGCCTCATTGTCTGAGGTTGAGAGGTCTCCTAAGAAGGGACGTGCTCAGCACTGAGCTCAGATGCTGGTGCTTTCACTGGGAGCCCCATGCGTCACACTTCGTGCACCCTTCAGCCGACCCTTGTGGGTATCTCCTGTGTGGATTCATACACAGTCTCCCCGTTCACAATTCCTTCCTGAAGCCCCCAGTGCAGGATGGGCACTGTCAGGTGTGAGGCGGGGTGTGTGTGAAGACACAGCGTGTCCCACAGTGCATGCAATGGGGCCTTCAGACAGAGTGGCCCAGAGTCGCCATCTGGTGAGACACCTTCAAGTGTAAACTCTTCTGGTGTGAGTATGATCAGGAACGTGTGCCTAAAATACAAAAGCTTTTGAATCACTACACCCTCATCAGGGCGCTGCCACTTCTTGCTAAGGTTGGTGATGCTAAAGAATTCTGTGTAATCAGGATTCTGTTGATTCTGATTTTGATGGATTATAAAACATATGAAGGACCAAAACTTTCTAACAAATAAACTCTTCTCAAGTGAGGGGGAATCTTCCGAGTTAAAGCAACAAAAAGAAAACTACAGTCAATGAAGGTCACAGGACAAAACAGCCATGCCCTAAGCCCCGACGTGTGCTGCCCCAGGTGGGCGGAGGGGCCCCAGAGGACTCAACAGACTTGCCCGCCCTACACGACTCTTCCCTAGAGCCATTTAGTTCACTTAGAAGAAATGCCGCAAAGTAGGAAAGATGCGAGAACTTGGAGAGTTTCAGAATGGATTTGAAGTGGTGTATTGCAGACGGGAGGGACTAACAATGCCAGCGCGTCCATGAACTCTACCAGCGGTTTTCAGACTCCTCATCCTGAAAGGGAAGCCTGGGCACGAGCCGTGGTCGGCCGCAGGGGCTGAGCCCGAGCCCTGCTACTGCCGGCTGTGTGTTCAGGGCAAGCTAATGGACCTCTCTGTGCTCAGGTTACTGCGGACTATGTAAATTCTCACAGAACAAACGAAAGTAGGCTAGGCACGAGCCGTGGTCGGCCGCAGGGGCTGAGCCCGAGCCCTGCTACTGCCGGCTGTGTGTTCATGGGCAAGCTAATGGACCTCTCTGTGCTCAGGTTACTGCGGACTATGTAAATTCTCACAGAACAAACGAAAGTAGGCTAGATGATTTCTCAGATTCCTCTCAAATATAAAATTTTAAACAAACTCAATATAAATTCTAACCCATAATGCAAGCAATTAACCATTAACAGTATCTGAGATAACAGATGTCCTGAGGTCTTCAGACTTACTTCATAAATGGCCTGCCTGCCTTTATCAGCATCCTTTCTGTCCTGGAGTTTCATGGTTCTAAGCTGAAGATAATGTGATGACTTTAGGATGCCACCTTTTAATTATACGCCCATCATGGACTTTGCATTCCTTGAACACTTTAATGATAACAAATGAGGGTGTCTCAAAAAGTTCATGGAAAAACAGAATGAAACAATAATATAAATCTTTCCACAAGTCAAACTCAATATAAATTCTAACCCATAATGCAAGCAATTAACCATTAACAGTATCTGAGATAGCAGATGTCCTGAGGTCTTCAGACTTACTTCATAACTGGCCTGCTGCCTTTATCAGCATCCTTTCTGTCCTGGAGTTTCATGGTTCTAAGCTGAAGATAATGTGATGACTTTAGGATGCCACCTTTTAATTATACGCCCATGATGGACTTTGCATTCCTTGAGCACTTTAATGATAACAAATGAGGGTGTCTCAAAAAGTTCATGGAAAAACAGAATGAAACAATAATATAAATCTTTCCACAAGCTTTTGAAGCACCCTAGCACATCAAGAAAAGTGTACCAATTCTTACTGCAGATGTGGACGAG